TGTTGGTGTCTACCTACCTTCTTTTTATTTACTTTTGTTTTTTTTCTTTTTTCCTTGCCCCGTTCGGTGCAAAGCGTGAGTTGTTTTCAAATTATTTTTGGTGGCCGAGATTATTATTTTTCGTTGGGCATAGACGAGGTACGTTTGTACCTCCATTACTGGGCGTGCCACCTACCGGACCTTTTTTTTGCGTACACTCACTTCCTGCGATGTACTGCTGTTCCACAATTGGCGGCCTTGCGGTGTGATGGCATGGGTTCGGCTTGGCAGGACCTCGTCGCTCGCAAGGGCCAGAGGCATAGTCGCAGGGCTGCGTATTCGTTTGGTGCACAAAGAAACCGCCATCAAAGTGTTTTTATTTAATGATAACATCTTCCCACACAAAAATGCCAAATGTATTAAAGAAGGAAAACGAATCTGGGGCTGCGCGCGAGTGGCTGGGGAGTGTGTGCAGAGCGGAAACGGCGATGGTGGAACCCGTTGAGACCGGCCTCTTCTTGATCGTCTTGACCGCATGTTGTGCGTGTGCTTGCTTGCTCTTTCTTTTGTTTCTTTGACGATAGAGTGATTAGAGAGTGACGTGGACTAACAGGCATTGCGTGGCACAGGCGGCGAGGAGCGTTCTTTGTAAACGACATTGCCAATACAGCTGGTGATATGGCTCTACAGAACGAGCCCTCCGTGGGCTACTTTTTGGAGGGCGAGGCAGGCAGCGGGGATGGCTGCAAGCGCGCGAGTTCGTCAAGGAGGGCATTGCACTGTTTATCGCGCATAATTCCGCACGGTGGTCTTCTGGCGACGACGTTTAACCTTGCGAGCGCCACTCTTGGTGGCGGGGTGATCAGCCTGGCTGCGGCCTTTCAGATGAGCGGTGTCGTGTCCTCCATTATCCTCCTTGTGCTTGTGACGGCGTGCACTGTCTATTCTGTCGGCCTGATGATGCAGGCTGTTGAGCTGACAGGCTATGCTTCTGACGCGCAACTTTCAAGGAAGCTCTTTGGCCGGGGGTGGGACTACTTCACAGTATCCCTTACGTGGTTGTTCACCTTCGGCACCTGTGTGGGCTACGTCATTGCCACTGGCCGTCTCATGGAGCCCGTGCTGTCCGCTCCTTCCTTGCCGGAGTTCTGGCGCTCCTTGGCCGGCAATCGCGTGGCGACGAGTGCAATTTGGTTTGTGGGCATGTTCTCGCTGTCGCTGCCGAAGGAGATCAACTCCCTGCGCTACGCCTCTGCTGCTGGGGTGCTTTTCATTTGCTTCTTTATTGTGTGCGTTGTGGTCCACTCCGTGCGCAATGGATTTCGGGGCGGCAAGCTCCGTGATGATATTGTCATGTTCAAGACGGGAAACGGAGCAATTGAAGGCCTCTCCATCTTCATGTTTTCGTACCTGTGCCACATGAATTGCTTCTCCATTTATGCGGAAATGCACAAGCCAAGCGCGAAACGCATGACGCTCCACACCGCCTGCAGCATGACTCTGTGTTGCATTGCGTACATCGCTGCCGGATTCTTCGGTTACGCCGACTTTGGAGCCCAGGTGACGGACACTGTTCTCGTGTTCTACGACGTCCGAGGCGATGTGATGATGGCTGTGGCCTACGCAGGAATCCTGTTTAAGCTGTGTGTTGGGTTTTCGCTGTGTATGCAGCCCGCTCGCGATTGCTGCTATTACATCATCGGCTGGGATGTGAACACAGTCCCCGTTTGGAGGAATTGCCTTTTTTGCGGAGCCATGGCACTCGGCGCTCTGCTGCTTGGGCTCTTTATTCCTGTGCTGAACACCGTCTTTGGGCTGCTGGGCAGCCTCTGCGGCGGCATTCTTGGCTTCTGCCTGCCGGCACTGTACCGTATGTACTGTGGGAACTGGAGCGTGGCGACAGTGGGGATCGTGAACTACGTTTGCACCTACCTCCTCCTCATTGCTGGTGTGGTGGCGGTTGTCTTCGGCACAGGGGCTTCTGTGTACGGCGTGGTTGTGTAGTGTGTCGCCGCGGTGCGAGCCCAAATAAGCAGGTGGTCGCCTTTGCTGCAGCCCCCTGCCTGTTTGAGGTGTGAGGTGTCCGCTTACGGCGACGCGAAGCCCTGGGCGCCCAAACCCGCCCTTCTCTGCGGAAAAGCAGTCTAGCACTCTCTGTTTTAATTAGGACCAATAGCATTGTTTTTTCTTCTTCTGTTATTCCGTGCCACTCGTTGCAGGTGAATACCCGTTTTTTTTT